AAAAAAAAAACACAGCCCCATTCTCTCCCTGGCTTCTCTGGTCCCCACTAACTCTCAGGGCTCCTCATTTCTCCTGGTTGCCCCCAAACTGAAGCCAATAAAAATACAGATGCGGAAACCTTGTTCCGATTCTTGGTATCAACTAGCACTTCCTAAGAGAGAGGGAAGTCTCCGAGAGTCAGGCCAAGGCTTCAGATGACTGGAAATCCCCTCCCCTCCGCGTTTCTGGGACCTGAAGACAGTGTGAGAAGGAAGTGGGGAGAGGTACGATCTCCTGGAAGAAAGTCAGAGCCTGAGAGGGAAATCCTGCCCCCTCGCCCCTGCCCCGGGCCAGCTGACCCCTGCGGTTGCGGTCACTTCCCAGGCACGGATATTAGGGAGAAAGGCCAGCATCCCAGCTGCAGCCCCATGGACACTCCTTTCCCCACAGGGCTCAGAGGGAAAAGCTAGTTGCAAAGCCAAAGGTCACACCACTTCCCTCAAGGATTAGCCCGCAACCAGTGCCTTTTGTTGACACTGACTTTTGCAGAATGTTCAACCCACAGACCCCACTCCCTGCCCAAGCTTCCCTCTCTCTAAAGGCCGTGGCATTCACCTGACCCTCTCTGCCTAACATTTGGGCACCTAACACCCTTTTCTTTCTTTTCCCTAAACGATAGAGCCAGAGTTGCCAGCCCAACATCAACGGCCTTCTCCCTTCCCAGGAGCGAACGGAAGGCCAACCACCTAGTGTTTTATGCTGTTTCTTTCTCTCCCTTTCTGCCACGTCTCCCCGTGTCCTTCTCAGACTCAAAGCCCCTAAGAGGTAGAGACCAAGACATGGCAGTGCCCCGCTCCACCCACACACAAGGGGTAAACACTCAGCTGCGAGCTTAAGAGTAACAGCTTGTGCTTACTAATATGTGCCTGGCAGGGTGCTAGCTGCCTAATGGGAACTATTTCATTTAACCCCCACCACAACCTTAGGAGAAAGATATAACCATTTTCTCCACTTTACAGATAAGATCATGGCTTCAAGAAGTTAAGCCCTGGCCGGTTTGGCTCAGTGGGTAGAGCGTCAGCCCACGGACTGAAGGATCCTGGGTTCAGTTCCAGCCAAGGGCATGTACCTTGGTTGCAGGCTCGTCCCAGACCCTGGTTGGGGCACGTGCGGGAGGCAACCCATCGATCTTTCTCTCTCTCTCCCTTCCACTCTCTCTGAAAAGCAATGGGGAAAAAATATCCTTGGGTGAAGATAAAATAAAGTTAAGAAGCTGACCTAAGAGAAGCACATAGCTAAGGTGGAAGAACAGGAGTGGAAGCTGGTTCTGCTGACTGAGCACGCAGGCTTTGACCCGCTACAGAATTCTACACCCCCCGAAGGTCAAAGACCGTGTCCTGTTTGCCCATACCCTCCTGAATGCTTGGCATCTGACAATCAGCTGACACACAGGAGTGTCTGTTGAATGAGGGAGTGAGCGGATAGATGTGTTTGTCGCTAAGGATGATGGCCTTGACCTCCATACCATCACACGCCTTCCTGCCTGTCCTCAGCCTCTCGAGAGCAGAATGCTATCTGCATCCACCCTGATGGTCTCCGCCTGGGCTGTCCCCGGAACACCTCATGGCCTGCTCAGAGCTAAATCAGAAACCTCCTCAGGCCTAGGTAGCCATCAAGGTTGGAGGCAGAAGCAGGTTTTAGTGCAGAGCAAGACCCGGATGCAAGAGGGTCCTACAGCCTGACCTCCTTTGAGGGCCCTCCGGCTGGTCCCTCAAACCCGAGGATGGCAGTCAGTTCAGATGAGCTGCTCGATGGCTGGACCCACCTGAGACCTTCCGCCAGGAAGATGATTCTTCTCTCCAGCACCGCCGAGGCGAAGAGCTGAATAATCTGCTCGATGGTGAGACATCGCAACAGAGAACGAAAATCCACGTGTTCTAGGTGGGAGTCCAGGGGCCGCGTCAGGGAGATGAACTTGGGGAAACCAGAGAGACAGGTGTCACCACACTGAAACATCACGCAGGTCCCAGAATGCTGGGCCTCTGCCGGCCTCCACTGTCCCCGGACAGGAGGAAGTCCGATCCTGTCTCTCCCTTACTACTAAAACCCAGCCACGGTGCCCTCTGCCCTGAGATACACGGATGTCATCCCTAGCATGGCCCACGGGGTCCTGCCTCCCTGCTAGCCTCACAGAGCGCACTCCACCTCCTGCCATGCTTCACCCATCACCTCCTCCTGTTCCTCGAGCATGTCACGCTCTTTCGGGCCTGGGGTCCTTCTCAGCTTGGGAGCCCCCTGGTCTCCCCTTCTCCCTTCCTTCTTGCCCTCCCTCAATCCCCAGAGGCCTTCCTTGGCCACCTAAAGCAAAGTGCGTTCTCTGTCCTTTCTCCTGTAGCACTGTTATCTTTTCCCCTTTCATCACAATCATACAATTTTTAATTATATATTTGTCTGTTTCTTGGTTGAATGTCCGTCTCCCCCACTAGACTTTCAGCTCCATGAGGCCAAGGATCACGCTCATTTCAGTCACCACTTTACAGACAGAAAATAGTTGAACTCGGTGCCTGGCAAGCATCCTACACTTACTTTTTGAGTAAGTGAAAAAGCCCAGCCCCTCCCCTTATTTTTATGGGGTTCAGAGGGCCACACAGATTATCCAGAGGAACAGGGCTCAGCACTGGGATTCTTAAAACAACGTTCTGCCTTAAAGCAGTGGCATCCCCTGTGGCATGGGTGGGGACTCAGGGGCGGGGATGGGCGATAAGAAATAGACAGATGGAGGCCACAGGCAGAGATATAGGACAGACACAGGAGGCTGAGGGTGTGGCCGGGGGCAAGTGGCAGGTTGGGGGCTGGGAGTAAAGTCCGTTCTAGAACCTCAGCTTACATGGTTTATTTATGACTAATAAAAGTCTCGGTGGCTTGAACAGTGACTAGGTCCTTATGACCATCTGGTTGGGAGGATCTGGAAATTTGGGTTTGATTTTCAGCTCTGCCGATAATTCAAGCGAAGACCCAGCCCCTGCCTCAGTCAGTTTTTCTGTATGTTAGCCAGTGAATGGAAGGACTGTGATGAGAGGGGCCACAGGAGCCTGCGCCCTCCAGCCAGAGAGGGTCTCACCTTTTTTTGGAACCCACCTCGGTGCCCGAGTCAGGGATGAAGCTCTTGAGGGTGACGGTCTTGCCAGGAGCAGGGAAGGTTGCCTCCCGGAGGCCCTGCATGAACGGGTAGATGACAGCCATGGAGATCTGGTGCCTCTTCTCCACCTCATCCAGGATCTGTGCAGAAAAAGGACCATGGGAGGCATGGCTCAAAGGGATGTGACTGGGGCGGTGGCAGAGGCCCCACGCGTGAGGCTCCCGCACTGGACCGGCCAATCTTCCTGCATCTTCTAGACCCCTCTGCCAGCTGGTCCCTCTCCTCCCTGGCACAGCCCAGTCCACTGCTTTTTCCCAGTCTTCTTCTTTCCACCCTCCCTCTACCAATCCATGCTCGTCCCTTCTCCTAACAGCAACATCAGCCACCTTCTCAGGGAGTCCTCCCAGAGTGAACTCATCGCCCATGGTGACACAGTTCATTCATGTTGGTTGGAATGGGGGCTACAAAGCTGGTCCTCTTGGGCACCACTCTGCCCTCCAACTTCCACTGGATGCCCCCAGGGCCGGGGACAGCCTCTGTCCCCCCTGCAGGGATGAGCGCTCCACCCAAGCAAGGACTGATGGAGTTCCCTGTCTTCTTCCTCCAAGGGGCCTGCTGGGGCGGAGCACACAAAAGCCCTTCCAGGCCACCTAGGCACACCCTATCCATTCTGAGGGCCCCCTCGGGTGTACTGGCTCTCAGTAAGCTCCGGTAGGAGAAGTCCTGGAGGCCTCCACGTCTCCTCTGCCCTGGAAGGAGTTAGAGGTAGTCCAATATTGTGTAATTGTCTCCGTATTTCTGTAGAGCTCAGCCTTTCTCACAGACCACCTCACCTGAGCCTCACGCTGGCCGTGAAATAGGAAGGTGAGGGTCATCTATGCATCTGACAGATGAAGGAACCGACAACTCCCGATTCCTAACCTGGGGCCCCTCCCACTGTCCCTCCAGCTGCTTTCTGCCCTGACCAGAGCGGGAGCCATGGGCTCTTGGCAGGGGAGATGGTCCCCGAGGTTAGGTTTTCACTTTTGTCTAAAATCAAGTAGAGCCCAAGCCCCTCTCTGCCTCAGTTCTCCAACGTGGGACTCGCCTGCCCCCAGCTGTGAGGGAGGCGCTCCCCTAAGGGCTTAGGGAGCACAGGCGCGGCAGGCAGCCCGGGGAGCTGAACAGGCCCAGCAGGCCCTGAGGAATCCTGCTCCAACCCTACCTTGGAGAACAGACCGAAGCAGCCGATGCAGCTGATGATACAGTACACCTTGGGGAGCCGAGGGCCAGGGCCGGCGGGCTGCGGGGAGAGAGCCTCCTTTAGCACCGCAGCCTCCCAGGGGCCCACGGGGCACAAGGCTGGTGGCTGGGGCTGGGGGACTCATGGTGAAAGGTGGGCCGATGGAGGAAGGCCTGGCTGTGCAGAGGTCCCGTACAAGGGACCGGCAGCAAGGAGGCCAGAGTGGCCACCAAAGTCAAAAGAAGGTGGCTGTGAGGGGGCTAGTGGGCTCATGGGCAAGCACTGCCATCATCTGGGGTCAGCAAAGAGAGGGAACAACTGTGCTGCAGGGATGAGGAAATGGCGAGGGGGGAACAACACTGTGAGAGTGACCTGGAGACTCCTGAGAGCCCAGAGCAGGGGTTCAGATCCCAGCCTCTGCTCAGGGAGGCTCCCGGGGCCAAGGCAGCGAGGCCTGGAGAGAGAAGGCGGGGGAGCAGGTTGGAGCCTCCCACTGAGCGCAGCTGTTGGAAGTTGGGAGAGCAAAGACCGCAGCAGGGCCAGCAGAGGTCCCCTGGGTAGGCGGGCGCGGGGGTGGGGGGGGGATGTGTCTCTGTTCTTGTGGCTGAGGCAGGCACGAACATGGCAGCCAGTGCTGGACTGTGATCTCTACTGTGACCAGCGCTGCCAGGGAGCCTGGGCCTCTGCAGCTGAGGCTTGAGCAAGCCCAGCTGTGGGGCCACGCAGGCTGCAGAGAGGAGGGGAGGGGGCAGTTCTGAGCTGCACAGACCAAGAGGCGCCTGCAGTAGCCGATCTTCCTGCTCCCATCCACGTTGGTCAGGACAAAGGAGAAGGTCTCCCTGTAGAAGAGCAGATAAGATTTTCACTTGCCCACAAGACTGTAAAACAGGAAGGCAGTCAGCGTCGGGGGGCTCTGAGTGCGGTGAGGCGGACACAGGGAGCTGCCGATCAGTCATGAGAGTGACAATAATGCCAGAAATGTATTAAGTGCTTGTTGGTGTCAAGCTCCAAATGCATCATCTCATTTAATTCCCCAGACAACCCTTTCAGATAGGTTTCGTTATTATCTCCATTTTAAAGTTGAAGGAACTGAGGTGGAAAGGGCGTCTTTTAGCCAAGGTCACTCCAACTCATGAGTGGTTCAGCCAAAACTGGAACTCAGTCAAATTCCAAGCCTCATGCTATAAGGGACTTTGCTACGGGCCACCTTCTTAAAGTCCACAGGCCTTCTTCTAGGTCCAGCTTCTGCCAGTGCAGAATCAAAACACAGAGACCACGGTTCCTAACACAGTGGAGAGAATCTGGCCCGTCTCTGTGCAGAGGTAACTGGTCAACCCGGTTAGCGAAGCTCCTTGGTGTTAAAGGACCCCAGGCAAGATGGTTATAAATGAATCAACTGAGTCCCTCCCTGTCAGGCGGAAAGCTGGTGAGAGATGGGCAAACACACCAGGCGAGGGGGCCACAGGATCACAAGGCTCACACTGTCCCTTCTCCCCGATCCCAGAGCCCCCATAGCAGGGCCAAGCAGTTACCTGGGATACTCAGTGAGTGGTGCCCACTCGTTCCCATCTGGGAAGCAGAACAAGGGGATGGCACTGAGCAGTCGCTCCTCCTCCTCCTGTTGGCCCCGAAGCAGGTTCTCCCTCTGCAAGGCACAGGAAAGGAGAGGAGCTGATGGTGCATGTAGGGGAAGCAGGGCAGGCGGGCTTCTTTTGAGGCTCTAAGGCAGTCTGAGGATAAGCTTTTCCACTGGCAGGGGTCCTCTGCCGGTCATTCTACCCAGGGACTTCATTCTGGGTCTGGCTGGACCAACCCCAAGGCTGAAACAGCCTGTCCTGGGCCAAGTCTACCTGAACCTGAGTTAGACGGCAGCGTGCTGAGGATCTGCGGAGTCAGGAAGGGGGCCAGGGCCACATCTGAATACAGAGAGGCCCAGAGACTGCCCAGCTTCCTGCGGGGACCACTTCAGAGAGAAAACACATCAGAGAAGAGAGCGGCCAGCTCACTTGCCACGCTTTGAGAGTTAATGAGAATCTCTCACCCAGGGCAGGGGCCAGCGAGGAGCCCACTGTGTGGCTGTGGCCACGGGCTGCCCTACCCTCTCCCTCCCACTCGTCCCAGGGAGGGGATGCCTGTGAGGAGCTCTGGCAGAAGGTAAGCTTTTCTACAGAGACGGGTGACTGGGGATGGAATCTGGGAGAACTAGGAGGTCCCAAAAGGGGCAGGAGAACTGGCCTAGTTTCCCGGCTAGCAAAGGAGCCTAGGTCAGCTCCTCACAAAGAAGCCAGGCCTAGATTCTGTGAATGATAGGAAACAGGAGTGGGAGAGCTCAGGGCAGCCCTGGAGGGGTAGGGAGAGAGAGAGAGGGCACCCCCTCCCCCACCCATTGCCTCTCAAACACCCCATCCTCTGTCCCCCCTCTTGTAGCCCTTACCTTGGGAAACTGGTAAGTGATTGTAGGCTCATAATCCTCCCCCGACCGCTTTTTCTTGAGGGAAACCACGAGGAGGTATTCAAAGAAATGCTGTCCCCCGGCGAAATTGGACAGACAGTGCTCCTGGGCCCTCTCTGGTTCCTTTGCAGCTTCCCCTGGATTGTCCTGGACAGATCCTGAAACCCAGACGCGTGGCCCACTCGGTATCTCACAGATCCGTGCCCCGAGTGGAAACTGCGAGGCTCCAGGCAACTTCAGCACCTCAAGGCCCCCCTGTCAACGCTGATGTCCCCACAGCCTGCCCAGCACCTAAAGCCCTGAAACAGGATCGGAGCCAACTGGGTAGTTTCCATGCCTGCCCTGGCAGATGTGCAGCCACGTGGAGCCAAGAGGAGAAAAGAAACCACTGATACGGAAGCCAAGAAAATGTACCCGGGAGGCCGCTGGGGAGGTCCCGTGCCCCGGGGTGCTGCAGAGACTACCTACCCTTAGGGTGCCCAGTCCAGTACCTGAAACATTTTGCCTGGAGTAGAACTGTCCTCACTAAATCAGAAGAGGCCGGAGGGCCATGTGGCTGTGACCACACCAACCGCGCCCCCCCCCC